CAGTTTGCAAACGACGTACCAGATCGATGTCGTTGAGGAGCTTCTTCTCCACGAGTGCAAAAATCACATCATCTTGCTGTTTGTAGAGCACCGCTGCGTGCAGAGCCGATCGACCAGCCTACGAGATATATCCGAGTCGATTCTTGACGTGCGGAGGTAGGATGTACGGCTTGAAGCTCGTGGACAGCCTGGACGCTGGGCACGTTGGCCGTGAAGTACAGGTGGAACCCCTGCTCTTTGACCTCTCGCTTGGCCATGATGAGCCGCCGGCACACCGGGTACGACACGAGCTTTTTGTTGACTTGGAAACGTTTGCTCTAGTCACTTTATAGTACAAACTCGCTCAGCGGAGAGGTCGCACCCGCACGAGTTCCCACGGCTGAACGCCAGCGCGTAGAAGTTGCTCGACGCAGTGCGCGTGGCCGTACTTGGCGGCAAAGTACAGCACGGACTTGCCTCTCTACATACCAGTGTCAGCCGCCGAGGCAGCCGGCACAGCGTTCACCGAGATGATATCATGCATGTTGTGACCCCGCGGCTGCAGCAAAAGAAGGGCAATGACATCGGCACGGCCTTGTTCACACGCTTTGCGCCAGATGATGTTGTCCTACGCGTCTTCGACGGTGCATCAAATGGGCGTCACGTACCTCTCTGTTGATCGTCGTGGTGTCTGGCGCTCGCAAAATTTCGGCCTTGAACTCGTCCCACTGATTCGCTTTGGCCAGCGCCGTGATGTGGTCTCCGACTTCTGTCACGCAGCAGCGGAGCCGGGCTTCACTGATGTGCATAGACTACAACACGAGCCTTCGCTTCCAGATCACGAGAAGTAGAGGGACGGTACCAACATTTCCACCGGAAGCGACTCTTTACTGATGCGACAGATCTCATTGAGCAAATGCACCAGCTCGGAGCTGTTTTGACCAGCGGCCTTGGCCGCGCAGGGCACGCAACGCAGTGCGAGTATGTCGAGCGCCGTGCGTTCTTGCTAGCGCGCACCGTCGTCGTTTGTAGAGAGCGTGACGCAGTTACCTTGTCCTTCTTGTGAAGCAGCTCCTCGGTACAGTACGGAAGCAAACGCTGAAGCAAGGTCACGTGCCCGCCATAGGCGGCGCACATGACGACTGTTCCATTTTCCTAGTCGACATGGTCGTCGATGAGGAGCGTGCAGCACGCCAGTATGTACGTTCTCGGTCTCTTGAACTTGAAGGGCTTTCGTGACGGCCGCTGCGGCCGCCTCCACGCGTTGGCGATACTCGAGCGCAGCCTCTTTCGTGCCAAGACGCAGACAAGTCAAGCACGGCGCGTCTTGGTTGAGGACCACCTCGTTCGCGCACGTGACGCAGGTGTAGCTGGGAAAGGCGTAGTGCAATGACGGCGCGTCGTCACACACACCTGTCCAGATGCCTGCCGCTAAATCAAAGGGGCCTTTGAACGTGCGCCGCAACTGGGTCGTATACGCCAGCGTGAGCTCGAGAAAATCGCTGCTTATCCACGTGCCAAGGACGGGGACGCCGTCCGCGACACCAATGAGCTGGTACGCGTTCATCGCTGGCGTTGGCACGACGGTGGCGAGCAATGTCGACGCATGCGTCTCGCTGCGCCACGTCACTTGCGCAAACGAGTCGCCCACAAAGATGGTGCGCAACCAGAGGTCCATGCCCACGACGTCGCCTGCGCGTGCGAGGCGGTGACCTGGGCACGTCTGTCGATAAGTGTCTTCTTTGGTCAGCAGGGTTCGGGCTTCGTCACTCTGCACGAGATCCAGCGGTGTTTTGCCCGCCTACGACACTTCGGAGACGTTGAACGAGACGCAAAAACAGACCTCGTTCGTCACGTCCATGGCGGCGGACTCGCGTAAGAGAATAGACACTGAGGTACGCTTGTCGCACGCAGCAGCCAAATGCAGTGGGGTATCCCGTGCCTAGTGGACGCTGTCAGCTGCATAAATCGTATGGGTCCGTGACACCTTGTTGCGGGCGTCAATGTCGGCACCCGCCTTCAAAAGCGCCTTTAGATTGCCCGCGTTGTGGCGCGCGGCAATGTGCAGCGGCGTGTTCCCGTCCTAAGAGTGCGATGAGCGCACGCCAGTTCTCGCATGTTCAAGTACGTCGTCGGTTATGTTGACGTCCCGGAAGCGCGGAAGGAGCCATTCGATGGCGCTGCCCGTGCCAGTGTTCGAAGCTTGCGCAGCCAAGTGCAGCAAGGAGCCTGCGCCCTGCTCCACATGAATGCACCGCTCACTATGCAAGCGGACCTCACCTCTCGCTGGACCTTGAGGTCGATGTCGGGGACCTTTGCGAGCAGCAGCTCCAGAACCGCGCTGTGGCCCATGCGCATCGCGCGGCTCAAAAGACGCGTGTCGTACTGTATGACATCAGCACTTGTGCAAATGAACTACGGACCTCGGGTATTAAGGTGAAGGGCGTCGTGTCCAGAAGGAGCGTCACAATGTCCAAATGCTCGCGCTCGCAGGCGAGCGACAGGACCGATTCGCCGCCCTAAGTGCAGTGAGCTAGGTGTGAACACACCTGCACGCTTGGCGACCTCGATCGTGCAAAGATCTTCTAATGTGTACGTCCGATGCTGCAGCCGATGCAAGACCAGCGGCTCGTTGCCCTCTTTGATCAGGGACACCATCGTCGCGTCGCAGTCGTCCACGATGCCGTCATCGTCATTCGAGCTACTTGAAGCGTGCGAAAATGGCGACTTGGCCGCGAGTGCGTCATACGCGCGGGCCGAACGCCACAGCGCAAGCAGGCGGGCACAGATCATTACAAACCAGATCTAAACCGGGTGGGCTCCGAGAGTTGTGTGTTCCAAGTCGAAGGTAGTCACGGTGTTCCAATTCGAAGGGTTCTCAACCCCGGTCCCACATTCAAACGGGGGGCTTTTGGTTGTGGCGCTGCCACGTCATCCTCGGAACAATTGACTTTCCGCAGTGTTTCGTTGCTGTGAAAAGTGCAATGTGGTGCTTCTGGAGTCATGATCGGGCGTATGGCGCGCTGCCGGCCAAATCGCCCTTCGTCTCAACATCCTCAAGGGACGAGGAGTATGACGCAGGCATTGCCGACCCCGGCGACGCGACGATGGTGCGGCTACTTAACGACGGCAACGAACCGCTCGTGCTCCATCGGCTGCAAACCCAAACGTATACACTCGAGGACCTCTGTGCGACCGACGTAACACCTCTACCGGCTCAATAGCTTGGACGTACATGACTGTAGGACGGCGACTCGGTTCTCTCGCGTGCCTGCGAACGCGGGCTGCTGGACATTGTAACCCTTCTTTTGGACTCGACGCCCTATACTTCGATTCCCGCGGTGCGCCCTCCAGTGTCGTCGACGAGCTAATTGTGTCCTAGTACGCGACGCGTCCGCTGTACCAAGCTGTGCGCCACGACCACGTCGCAGTACTACAGCTCCTGCTCGCGAAGATCCTCGCGATCGACGTCACGGCCACGCAAGACGTACGTTTTCGCTGCGATTTTGCGGCGATGTATGCGCTCATTGCACGCTTCTAGGACGGAAGCACGGCGCTGCATTATGCGGCCCGCTACAGCGAGAACGATGTGCTCACGCTGCTCTTATCGCTCGTCACGAACGTTGACATGACGTCTGCCGTGCGATGCCACGTGCCTCGTACAAGCTCAGTTCTGGTGGGTAGGACGGGATGACGCCGCTGCACGTTGCGGCCAAGTACGGCTACACGCGCCAACCCCAAGGCATGGTGATCAAGAAGCACGACAACGCGCAAGAGATGCAGTCGTTGCTGGTTGCAGGCGCCGACATCGACGCTCGCACGCAGGTTCGTCAATGCTGCCGCGCACATTTTCGCAAAGAGCGCGCCGTAGACACGGGATACCGCGCTCCATTTCGTTGTCGCGAGGAGTGATCACGCAGGCGTGAAGCTCCTCTTGCATGCATCCGCCACCATTGACGTGACAAACGAGGTAGACGCGAGTCCTCTTGCCTTCCACTGCAGCCTTCTAGGCCGGGCAAACACCCTTGGACCTGGCCGTCCGCGACGATAAAATAAGCGCCATGCTACGCGCTGAAGACGACCTCCGAAAGAACTACCCGGGCCACCGCCTCGCACGCGCAGGCAACGTCGCGCGCATGGAGCTTTGGCTGCGAGCGATCTTTGCGAGAGATGCGTTTGAGAGCGTGACGTGGCGCAACGAGAGAGCCATCCTGATGTCCGTGACGGTCATACCGACGCCTACCCTCGATGCGTACCAACTGCTAGCGAACGATGCCGCGGTTCTTGGCGCCTGGACGCGCGACAACGTTTTGACGCTTACGTTCGTCGACAAGACGCGCCCCAAGACGTACAAAGGACCCGTCGATGTGGCTGCTGGCACGTGGACGGGCATCTGTGACGACGCACCGTCACTGCACTACATTATATCGCTCTACCTTTGCGTCGCATGCACCGTCGCCGCGGTGCCAACGCCAGGCACGCCGTGTCTGCAGTGTCTTGCGCTCAACAGAAGCGACTTCGTGCTCTCCTATCGTACACGCGCGCAAGAAGCAACATTGGCCGTCACGGCGGCCCTCGAAGTCCGCGCCAGCGTACGTTCCATGCAGCTTAATGGCCGTGAATGATCTGGTGCGTAGGACGGAAAGACCGTGCTTATGTATGCAGCCAAGGGTCGACACTTGGCGATCTTGCATCTGTTGCTGCCGTACTGCACCGAGGCGCTTCTTCAACTGACGCTCAAGGTAGTTTCGGTACTGCGTGACGAGACACAACACGGAGGGTAGAACGGAGACACGGCGCTGGACTTGCTCACGGACTGTGTTTTGCACTGCGTCACCATCGCCAATGGCCAAAGTAGCACCGAGCTCATTCAAATGGTCAGTGAGTTGCGTCGTCGAGGCAATCTCACACGGTTCCTCAACCACTTGGTACACCTCGAGTCTCAGCTACTTCGTTTGACAATAACCACACTAGCCCCATACGCAATGCTGCCAGATGGGCGATGACTCGGCCGAGCTCGCTGCGCTGGCCGAAGCAAAACAGTGGGACAAACTCAAGGCGCAGCTCTTGCGCAAGCCTGTGGACGAGCCTCTGGTCGATAATGAAACAACTGACGTAGACCCGCGGAGTGTGGTGGTGCGGGTTAAACTGGAAGGTGTCCCTAGGGATGCACCGTGTGGCAGTACGTGTGCCAACATGGCCGCCTCGATATACTCAACCTCCTCCTCTCGCCACCGACAGTTCGCACGCCGAGCCGCCTTCGACTCGTAAACTAGTGTCCACGCCACGACCATCTGATATCGCATCTAGACTGGGGAGACAGCACTGTACTTTGCGGCCAAATACGGCCACGCCAGCTGCGTGGAACGCCTCTTGCTCGCTGGCGCCGACCCGAATCATCTACAAGTGCGCCAATGAACTTCTTCGTTTAGCGAAGGACGTCCCTTGCGTAGCGGTCGCGCCCGATAGACGAGCTTGTGTGGCCTTATCCCGCGTGCAAGCGCCTCATCACCGCCAAGCAAGAGGTCCAAGAACATCATACCGACTACTTTATGGCCAACGTGCCCGACCTGTCGGCGGTCGACCAGTTCAAAGCGGTACGTCGACTCGAGCTGAAGAAGAGGACAATACATAAGCTATTCCTTTCAGGCCGGTCGATCGGCCTTGCACGCGTCGGTCCTCCTCAACCAACGACCTAACGTGATCTCGGCGCTCCTGG